TGTAATTAGCTCCTAAGTTGATTGTTATGGGACTGACATGTTCAAAAGAACAAAAATCCTTAAGAAAAATAAAGAGAAAAAAAAAGTATTATGCGTAGTCCCATGTACTTATGACACTCCGGGGACAAAGATGAATCATGTGCACTTCTCTTGTCAGTACTTCAGAAAAAAAAACATTTTGTTTACTATGTAAAAAAAAAATTAAACATTTTGTTTTTTAATGTGTTTCTTTTTAGAACACGATAGGAAAGGTTCCAAAGTCGTTGGAATTGAGTGAGAGCACGTATCTACAGGGTGTTGCCAACAAGATTGTGAAAAGGAAATTAAGTATGAAGTCACGAGACATTTGGCACACGACTGCACTGATAAAAATCTCCCTCGACGATTCTAATGGACTCCTTTGACATTTGCAGAGAATTATAACCTTATCTACGGAAGACGCAAATGATAAAAAAAATAAAGTTATCTTACTAATGTTAGGAAGAAAATCCGAAGTAAATGCCAGTGTATTGACTCAACACTAGATTTACTAAAACGTCGACGTTTATTTCCCCTCACTATTCATTCTGACATTGGACTTTGTAACGAGGGCGCGTCTAAAACTACTTACTAATGTTACTAATATTATAAATGCGAATGTTTGGATGGATATTTGTTTGAAGGTATCTCCGGAACGGCTTATCAGATCTTGTTGAAATTGAACACAAATGTAGAACAACGCAATGAAGATTTCATTTTAATTTCGTGCGGACGGAGTTGGAGGCGACAGCTAATTCATAATTACTTTTCTTATTCTATTGATTTTTGGTCGAGAAAATTACAAAGCGTTTTACGTAGCGGATAAGTTACCACAGTAAAATTACTTTTAAAATCAAAACCCTCTTTTGGATTGTGGGCGTGAGTTATGTTTTTTTTTATTTTTATTTATATCACAAGGTGGCAAACGAGCGAGCGGCCACCTGAAATCGCTGAAATAGCGAAGTGACCGTTGCCCATAGACATACGCAATTGCATATGCGTTGCCTACCTTTAACCGACGGAGGAGAGGATGCACAGAAAGAAAATATTTTCCCTTTCCATGCATACTCTCATCCGGAAAGTCCACTTCCACTTCCCATCCTTTCCTTATAAGAAATAGGATGGGAAGGGAAAGAGGACTAATTTTGGCCTACGGGACGCACACTCATCAGACGAAACGCGAAATTGCTTCCACTTGACGCCTTCTGTGTGGTCGTGGTATTTCACCGGGCGAGCCGGGCCGATTCGTGCGAATCTGTTAAAGCGGGCTCTACCACTGTTGAAATGTTGTATGTTGTTGTTTAAATAATTGCTATTCCGATCAAATGTTATAACACTTAAGTAACATGTAAATATTATTTTGATCAAACGAATAAATTTTCTTACATGTAAAAGTTACGTTAAGGAAAATTTTAGAACGGCGAAATAAATTGTTGAAAACTTTCGTACATATCAAAAGCCTAACAAGGCAACTAAACTCAACATAAGGCTAAAAGGTAAAAAATACTCAAGAATTTAAGTTTTTTTGTTAACATTTTAAATAGTATAATAATTTTGTTTTTATTTAAGTTTAATAAAATATGAATATTGAAGGTAAACAAAATGATACTACGAAATGATATTGAAATTGTTCAAATTTATTATTACTGAGAAAAACACATTCGGTATTTCATATCGTCAGAAAACCATGAATTTATTAGTAGGCTTGTTGAAAGACTGACAATTTTATAAAGGAAATTTTTATTATTATATTTCAGTTTAACTCTTTGAAACTTTTTAACCTATTTACAACTATTTCTCTAATGTTAAGCTATTTAAAAGATTAATTATTTGTAGTAAATATGAAATTATAAAAATCCCACAATTAAATTAAGTCACGGTTTTAACACTTTTCAAACTCAATCAGTTATTCCAACTGACAGGAGGTTATTTTCTAGGTGTACAGACGGAGCAATAAGCGGTGTTCCATTTACAGAAAAATTATTCCTTGCAATTAAACAAACTCCGCCCTTTCTTACAAAACAATCAATTAGTAGCTATAACAGTAAAATGTCAATTGTGTACAATCAACCTGCTTTCGTACAGACACATTTAAATGCTGTGTCCTTTTGGTTATTGTTTCCACGTTGTTGTTTCAATACTTACAAAACGTTTAAAAGAACGCTTTTAAAGTGTAATACCGCTAAATTCCCTGATAGTACATTTGCTTGATGCAATCCTTGTACGTCAGTTGAATGGTTTTGAGGAGTGAAACGTTATTGGATTTGAAACACTCGAAGGCTCGTAGAGAGGTCAAAGACATTATTTTTCTTTACTTTTTTTTATAAGAGGAGGAGGGCAAACGTGCAACGGGAATACCGAGTTGTTCATCGACGCCCTTGGCCTTCAGCAATTCCAGAGGAACCGCAGATGCGTTGCCGGCGTTTGAGATGGTGATACGCTCGCTTCTTGAAGGACCCTAAGTTGTAGCGGTTTGGCAATACCGCCTAGGACAGACCATTCCACAACACGACTGTGCGAGGTAGGAAGTTTATAACATCGCTTGTTCTTCGTAAATACACGTAATACAATTTAACTCTACTAGATTATTTACGACTCTATATTATGTATATGTACCAACCCGCACTTGGCCAGCGTGGTTGACTATGACCTAATCACCCTTAACTTAGGGTAGGCTCCGAGCCCCTCGTTGGGGACGTATAGTGAGCTGATGATGATGAATGATTTAAAATAATTGTTTTTCAAAGTGTTCGCATTAATATTTAAAAGTGTTTTGTTATTTAAAGCGAACGATACAATTTTATTTACAATTCATTCTGAAAACTGTATAATGAGCGAAAAAAAACCACAAGGATCACAAACGAAATTCTAAACGGACTGTGGGGTGAATAAATTAATGATAATACGAACTAGAAGTCGATGCCAAGGATAATGAAGTCATTGAACTGACGAATAATTTTAAGAGGACGCAGAAATAAGCAAGACCATGGTCATATTCCCAGCGAGGCTGTGGAGTGGATCCCGCTAAGAACAAGAATACGTGATCGTACTTTCGGCGCTCTGTGGATCCCTTTGCCCCACTACTGGGACATAGGACATTAAGTCAAGTCAAGTCTATAGGCTAAACTGAGTTCATTTATTTTTATTACGTCTAAGTTGTAAGGATTCACTTGATTTATCTTTTCAGTTGCGTTAACACGGCTGACGCCTGAAATTCAAAGATAATACGAGAATAGCTGTCTGTCTGTAAACGTCGACAAGTTTGCGTCAAATCCTCCATTAGCAGAAGTGTATAATTGTTTGAAATGACTTGTAACGTTTTAAAGTAAATATTGTGTTTATCTGAATAAAATGTTGTCTTATCTAGTACTGTTAAGACAAAATTTAATATATAAAAACAATTTTGGATTATATACATGGATTTATTTTAGTTACTAATCTATTTATAGTAAGGATAAGTTTTTATAAGTAACAATTAAACTTACAAAACTAAGCGATTCGGTGACCCTGAACTGTTTTACACAGGCATATATTATATTTTTTTAAATCAGAGTAATTGTTCAAAGTAAATTTGCAATCCAAAGTCCATCGTGCTGCCAATATACTTGGTCGCTTCCTAATGAATGAAATCCGCGGCTAAACAAAGTTACCTTCGTTAGTCGCCCTCTGGCGGAATTTTAACGAAGATGCACATTGTTCTGAACATTTATAACAAGTGAAGTTTACAAGAAATCAGAATGCGAGCCAACTTTTGAACATGTCCATGCAATCATTTTATGTTCTAGTTAAGTTTAAACTAGCTTTTGTCCGCAACTTCTTTCGCGTGTAATTAAAAAAATAAGTACCTTCTGTGTTATAAAAAGCAATGTGCTAAATTTTGCCAGACATTTATACCAAATCCTTGTAGCCGTTTTAAAGATACGTTCTAACAAACACCTATCCATATCAAACACGGCGCCCTGGGCGCTCTGGGCTACGCCCCATTTTTTTTGGGTCGGGGGAAATTTTTCCAAAAATACGGTATCTTACACGGCGTCCTTTATATCCGACTCCGGCGCCCCTTTATGTCCGGCGCCCAGGGCGGTCGCCACAAATTGCCCTACCTTTACTGATCGCTATTGTTATATTAGCAAGATTTATTTATGAAATGAGAATTAATAATTATTTTTTGTCAAATTAATTAATTGATTAAAAGTCAATAAAAATGTCACTGAATTCCACTAACAATAATAGTTAACCTAAACAATTTTACAAATCGTTTCGTGTGAAAATAAAACATTGGTCGAGTGATTTATGATCACGTTACAGAGAAATGCAGATCGGGAAACTTCACAACATTTTCACGTGTCATAAAGCTCGCACATTCGTCACTTGCACGTCGTGTGCACGAAGCGCTTTTGCAATATTACTATAGCTGAAATTTAGTAGTGCTGTAAGCGCTTTATTGTTTCGTATCACTGAATTTGCTATAGGATTGTACCAGGATTAGACTTGGTTTTTTAAAGGTCAATCAATTTAATTTACGCTTAGTGTCGAACTAAAACAATATTAATTATAATTCTGGTTGTTAGAATGAATACAATTAAGATTTGAAAAACAAGTTCACGAGTCTTTCTTCTTTCTTCGAGAAACTGTGCGTTTATAAGTAAAGGAAGATTGGTACGATTATGTTTTGATTGATAAAATATGAACAGTTAAGAAAATGTGCATAATACGTTTAATATTTTTAACTTATTAGATAAGGGCAGCGTGGCCGAGTGGTCTAAGGCGCTGGTTTTAGGCACCAGTCCGAAAGGGCGTGGGTTCGAATCCCACCGCTGTCAAAATACTTTTTACTTAATTTCTATTTGGAAAAGTCCTTTAATTACACCCTTACCTTTTTAGGTGAAATCGATTGATGTAAAACAATTGTAAAACCAATACTGCGCGTAATTAAAAAAAAATCTTTATTAATTGCTTATGTGTTCTTCCAGACTATGTTCTACATCTATGTCAAATTTCAGCGAGATCCCTTAATCTATGCATCCAAACATTAGTAAGATTAATCACTTACTTCTTTATTATAGCTTCGTAATTTGCAATACACTTAATTAAAACACTTTTTGAAACATTTATAAATTTATGCATAAATGGAAATATCATATTTAAGATCTTCCCCTTTATCGCTCTTCATGCGAAGGTTGACGAATGTAAATCCGACTCCTCCCGCTGTGACGTTGGCCGAGGCTCCTGACTTGGTTAAATCGTAAGCTAGCACGCCCTGGAACAAAGAGAAAGAACTAAGTTATACGTCGTCTAGGCGTATCCCGCGACCCCGGCAAAAAAAAACTTTGTAAGTAGTAACTTAGTAAGCCTATGTGTTTTTCCAGACTATGTTCTATATGCATGCCAAATTTCATCGAGATTCATTCAGTCGTTCTAGAGATACCTTCAAACAAATATTCATCCAACCGTCCAAAGATTTGCATTTATAATATTAGTAAGATATATAAGTACTAAGTAAGACTATACAATATGTTTTATTTCAATAAACTATTAATCGTCATCATCATCAGCTCACTATACGTCCCCACCGAGGGGCTCGGAGCCTACCCTAAGTAAAGGTTGATTGCTGACGCTGGCTAAGCGCGTCGTGGTTGACTTCACACATATCTTTGAATTTCTTCTCAGATATGTGCAGGTTGCATCACGATGTTTTCCTTCACCGTAAGAACGTCGAATAAATGTACAAATGTAAAAGCGGAAATGGAAAAACACATTGGTACATGGCGGGATTCGAACCCGTGACCTGCAGATTGCAAGTCAAGTCCTTGATCCCTGAGCCACTGACGTTCTAAACTATTAATAAATATCCTTTATTTATTTAGTTTAGACTCACCTGAATATAACGTCCGTATAGTTTATTATATGGTATTGTGACGTTCAACGTTTCGATTCTTTTTTGAAACATTTTCGAACTGTATTTGACTGTACGTTGGTAAACTAACTCCCCTTGTACGCTCGTGCCCATAAATGTATGGGAACATTCGACTATCACTACAGCTGCTATCAAAAATCCGACTATGAAAAATTTCATTTTTTTTCTATTCAATATTAAATGACCGATACGTTAGTCGAATAAAATAGATAACCGTTTAAAATTTATATATATACAATTGTTATTGATAAAGTAATTAACATTGTTAACGATTGTTAAATTTGACCGCAATGATTGATTCATTATAATATTTTTCATTAAAACGTAACACAATTAAAATTACAAACTACGGGAATGATAACTTCTTTGTTTTGAAGAATATAATATTTTCAATTTAATTTTATTAAATTAAATAATTTATTTAGTGCCTTTCTGCATAGTGACGTATAAATAACTAACTGCATAAATAACTAGTCAAAATTAAATAAATAAACGATATTTATTAATAGTTTATTTATTAGAGCGTCGGTGGCTCAGGGGTCAAGCACTTGACATGCAATCTGCAGGTCCTGGGTTCGAATCCCGCCATGTACCAATGTGTTTTTCCATTTCCGATTTACATATGTACATTTATCTGACGTTCTTACGGTTAAGGACAGCATCATAATGCAACCTGCATATCTGAGAAGAAATTCAAAGATATGTGTGAAGTCAACCAACCCGCACTGGGCCAGCGTGGTTGACGATGGCCTAATCACCCTTAACTTGGGGTAGGCTCCGAGCACCTCGGTGCGAACGGATAGTGAGCTGATGATGATGAATAAAAAATTTGTGTTACTCTTAAATAGACAGGAAATAAAAGTTTTTATCTTTCTTAAATACTTGTGATTTATTCGCAAACAATAGATTATTAGAAAAGAAAGTTTAAAATGTTCCTACGTCGATTTCTTAGTAAAATGTTGTGTAGATGTGACTATTACAATGTGTCTTTGCAAATTTATTGTTATATTTCACCAGAGGGCTCGTTTGGTATCATCTTTGTATGTACATCCGTCACCGTAGCATTCTCTTTGGCTCTCATTTTATATTCTGTGCCATTACAGTCTTTGTATGTCTCTTTACCTTTCAATTTTATTTGCATCCAGTGTTACTCTTTGTTCGTGTCAAAGAGTATTTTGACAGTTTATTCATTTGTTTAATTTTAAACCGACTTCAAAAAGGTGGAGGTTCTCAATTCTTCTGATTTTTTTTAAATGTTGGATTAATCTAGACCTGGTTTAATGGCGCTGCCCCACGGAAGTAAGCCAAAGCGTTCCCGTGGCGCCCGCCATCATGCGTCAGAGGGCAGTCAGGTTTTAGTGGGTATTCTGGTTACCTTCTGTGGCCGGCGAGTCCCACACTCCCTACGCCATTGCACCGCCCGGCGTAGGCGTGCGTAAATGCACTTCCTGACTATAAAAAAAAAATGGTTAAATGGCGCTACAATCGCCTGCTTTATTCCAATACTATCTAATTTGTACGAATAAGTTCCTTATTTTTCCGCGATATGAAAATAAAAAAAAAACTAATTTATAATAATTCAAAAACTTAAGTTTACATGTAATAGTTAAGCTTAGAAATTTAACGGATACAAAAGGTTTAGGTTTTAGGAGTCTTTGCCAGGCGAGTTAATATTAGGGTTTTTATATTCCCGGTCAAACTATACTTATATTCAGCAAATAGAGATTGAGTAATTCTCTCCTCCAATGTCTAATGCCGAAATATATTAACAAAACATTGCTATCTCTACTTTTTCAAGGCGGGATGAGAATATGTTTTAGTAAATTTGACATACATATACACAGTTCATCATCAGCTCACTATACGTCCCCACTGAGGGGTTCGGAGCCTACCTTAAGTTAGTGACTTGGTCATAGTCAACCACGCTGGCCAAGTGCGGGTTGGTTGACTTCACAAATATATTTGAATTTCTTCTCAGATATGTGCAGGTTGCATCACGATGTTTTCCTTCACCGTAAGAACGTCGGATAAATGTACATATATTAACATCTGTCGTGACATATAATTAGGTTTATATTAGAGAATAAAGACATATAATATTTAAGAAAGTAATTAAATAAAGTACTAGTTCGCATTATCCCGGTGTTTCTTTTATTACATTGTTTCTTATATATATAAACGTAGGTTTCCATTGCCAAAACACTAGTACAAATATATATTACTATCTCTCTCTTTTTCCTTAATAAAGACAGAGATAATATGTTTTAGTATTTCTATAATGTTGTACGTAAGAAAAAATATAATCAAGCAATCAGCACTTACCCAGTACTAATCTTATTGAGAAAATGTAATTCACAAAATTGAGTTAACGTAGACTGACGCCGACTTACCGCGACCCATACAATCTAATTTACCTTATCTTGTTAAATTATTTATTCTTTACAAAAACAAATAAAATAAAGACATATTTAGTGTTTTTTTTTTTAATTAAGGATAAAATACAGTTCGTTTCCTTGCATACTTAAACTGAAATCTGTCCTGAAATAAAAAAAAAAATCGGTATTTATTTCAACTAAGTTGAGGCGGTTAAGTTATTAAGTAAAGAGCCGTTGACTGCAACTAAGTCCGCGCAAAATAAAAAAAAATCTTAATTAGTAACTTATATGTTCTTCCAGGCTATGTTCATGTATGCCAAAGTCTCTACATTAGTTTGAAATTAAAATAAAATAATAAAAAACAATGCTACAGTAAAATCAGTAAAGCAAATAATACGTACAACTTATCACGAAGAATGAATTTCTCCAATAGACTTTGAAATATTGGACGTGGAGTGTGAGTTTGTAAAAAACGTTGAAGTCTTTTGAACGATTTTTCCCCGATGACTTTTTATTTTTCCCAACTCGCTTTCCGGCGCGCCGCCGCCGGACGCAGTGACACCTGCGTTAGCGACACCTGATTTCCAAATCGAAGCTTTTTCAATAAAATTCTGTATCCGTCTGCAAAAATTTTTAAAGTAATAATAACAGCAAATAAATAGTGAAATCTCGAAAGAAACTACTTTTAGACATTCTTTGTTAGACTCATTTGGAGCGCGCGCTTTCGTTACCAAGTCAAGTGTCAGATTGATTAGTGAAGGGACATATACGTTGATATTTTTATACGTCTCGTGTTGCGCTGATACACCGGCACTGTCGGATTTTCTTCCTAACACTTGTAAGGGGGAAAGAGTTTCTTAATTTAATTTTTGTCGTATAGTTATAAATGTTATGTTTTTAATTCCTAATTAAGTGCACACACACCATCAATAAAGCTTGTAATGTATATCCCCTTCCTTATCTAAAGTACAAAAGAGCAGTTAAAAGCTACTTGCAGGAATTAACCTATGAAGAGACTGAGAAATTATTTACAATTTGGCCTTAATATTTTAATATTTTTGTAGTATTTTCTCCCTACTTTCTCCCTTTTTTATTTTTATTTTTTATTTTAACATCACTGTAACGTTTCTTTAGTTTATAACAACACCTAAAATTTTTAAGCGGGTGCGCACTGATATAACATAAAACCGAGCAACAATAGCCTAATGGTCTAGTAGATAACCATGTCCTAGCACAAGCTTCTAGCTTATTTGGAATGGTAACAACTAATGTGTGAAAATATTTCTGAAACTTGTTTTTTTTTTTTTTTTTTTAATTTGTAAACTAAACTGTTATGTAATATTGTGTGTGTCTATGCAAATAAAAAAAAATTATTATTATTAATTATTATTATAGTTTGGACATTACCACTTATAATTTTAAATTTCGAACAGTTTCAAAGCGTCAAAAGCCTAATGTTTAAGGATACGGATTTCCGACCACGAATTCGGGGGTTCGAATCCCGCCATTCGACTATTGTATCCTAGCATATCTTAGCACAAATCTAGATCTTAGTTGGAATGGTAAAAGAAATATTAGGTAATTAACAAAAAAATCTGCTAATATTTTTATAAAAAAAAAGTTTTCGTTAAAGCAAATTAATTCTATAATGCGTATTTATAAATCTTTTTTCACATCTTCCGAAAATAGTTGCTTTATATCCTTCATACATATAACTGTTTTCGTCGTATAAGTCTTATATCTTCATACAGATCGTATAAAATTAACCCTAAAACGTATTATCTTTCAAAGTCAAGTCAGCGTCCGGCGCAGAACGGCCAACATCCGACCGCTTTGCTAAAACTATCTTGGGAAGTGCACTTATGTTCTTTGAACGTGTTCATTACTTTAGCTTCCTGCACAAACTCTATCTCTATATGTAAAGCCTTTTAACTACTAATTGTCTGTCTAAACGTAAGTAATTCACATAATATGCAACAGATTATCAAATATTCCATCATCATCATCATCATCAGCCTATACTCGTCCACTGCAGGACATAGGCCTCTCCCATGGGCCGCGGACGAGAGCAAAAGCGTGCCCGTGGTCCCGTCCCGATGCGTTGGAGGAACAGAGGGGTTTAGTGGGTATGCCTCCCCTATGGAGGAGAATCCCACATAACCACCGCGTCCCCCCCGGGGCGCGGAGTATGCATAAAGCATTCCCCTCTGAAAAAAAAGGCCTTTCCCATGGCACGCCACTGAGCACGATCCTCGGCCACTCTCATCCAGCTCATATTCCATACATTTTACTAATTGACGTAGTCATTTGTTATTTTATAAATTATTTTCGTTAAGTTTCGTAAAGTATATTATTTAGTACCATCATATTTGTGGAGCGTCGGTGGCTCAGTGGTCAAGCACTTGACTTGCAATCCGCAGGTCCTAGGTTCGACTCTCGCCATATACCAATGTGTTTTTCGATTTCCGATTTACATATGTACGTTCTTACGGTGAAGAAAAACATCGTGATGCAACCTGCACATATCTGAAAAGTAATTCAAAGATATGTGTGAAATCAACCAACCTGCACTTGGCCAGTTTGGTTGACTATGGCCTGATCACCCTTAACTTAGGGTAGGCTCCGAGCCCCTCGTTGGGGACGTTTAGTGAGCTATTATGATAGTGATGATTTGAGGTGATTTTATTCCATTCATTGATACGGAAAATATTTAAAAATAAATTAATAAACATTTACAGTTTTTATTTTTTATACCTGATACTATTCCTAATGTTATCTGTGAATATTATATAATTTTATTCAAAAAATATTCAGTATAAAAGCGT